AAGAAAAACCGTACTAAATTCTCCTTGGGTCTAATAAAGGTGTCTCATTTTATTTTAGTGTTATGGTTAAAAAAGGCCAGATTTACACGCGTCAATGCAGCAAACAAATGAGCAAATGCCCACAAGTTCAAAACTTGTCAATAAATTTACTTGCAATTACTTTCCTAGCCATTTACTGACTGAACAAAGATATTCTTCCACAATAATATCGATGGAAGTGTATGATACTTTCCGTGAGATCATTGAATTTTTTGAAGAAAAACTTGTCGTGACAGTTTGTTTGCTAAACTAGTACCATTGTTTTTTTCAAAAGTGTACAAAGTTTGTTTGGAAGCCTTCTAAATCATCTTTATCTGCTACCTAAATAAACATTTTCAGTGAAGCCTCTTTCTATAATTTGCATTATCTCTATTTTTACTGCCATTTACTTGCTTGAAAATTGCTCAGTGTAAAGAAGATCTTTCTGTAATTACAGCCCTAAATCATTTGGGTTCTTTTGGCAATTATGTCTAGTTCCAGAAAATGTTCATGCCCTTCACCCATTGCAGAGGGGATTTCCTTTGGAAAAAAAATTTGAGAAGGCCAGTTTTGTTGGAAATCTAGCCCAGAAATTGCTGGTTGCTCACTTGAAATATATTTCACAGTGGGAAAAAGTACCTTTCATAATTAATATTCTAAAGTTCTCTCGGTAGCCAGTTCATTGAAATTTTCAAATGCAGTTCTATTGGTGCAGGTGTCAATGAATGTATTTGTCACTGGTCTTAGTTGATAAAAGTGATGTTGTTTGACCAAATGGCATTTTTATGAGGCAGATTTAATCAAATATTTTCTTGTTAAAAAGTTTTTCATATTTGAGAGGGAGTATATCTGGAGATTTTCAAGGAGGAGGGGTTTATACTCATCTTGAAAAAGCCTTAATTCAAAAGGGAGGAATGTGGCTAGGTATTACCACATATTTACTCATAATGCACTGAATGATGCAATTACTGAGTTGTAGTGGTCACTAAAAATATTTTAATTTTTTTTATTTGCAGGTGTACAGCCCAGTGAGGGTAATGAATGGAGACCAAGATCTATTGGCCTTCCCAGAAAGGTTCCTAATTTTGTTGGAAGGATGGATATTTGTGAAGAAATCACAGGGTTGTTGACCACAGATGAGGATGACATAACTTGCCTTGTCACTGTTGTTGCCCCTCCAGGATTTGGAAAAACTGCACTTGCCAAAACTGTCGGAAACATGATACTGAGTCAAGGAAAAAAAGATGTGATATACATGTGCCTCAGATCAGTGTCGTCTCTTGCATGTGCAGCGGAATACTTGCTAAAGGAAGCAGTTGGTTCTCATGCTGATCAGAAAGATGCAGTTTCACAGCTGAAAAGGTATTTAACTTCCCTGCGAAATCCAACAGTGCTGATTCTGGATAATGCTGAAGACTTGCAAGCTGAAGATGAGTCAAACTTTTATAAACTTTTGGAGAATGTTGGTGTCCATGCCAAAAATCTTGTCACACTTATCACGAGCAGGACCCCTATCTCAACATTAGATCTCTGGTCTTTTGCCACCAAACATTATCCCCTAAGACCACTAGCTAATGAAGACTCATTGCTCTTTCTCAAGAACTGTGTGCCCGACATCTCACGTCAAAGTGCAAAGGAATTTGCTACTGCTTGTCGTGGTATTCCCCTGCTACTGAACATAACAGCATCATTTTTAAAAAAAAAGGCAGTTAACCCTAGTGATCTCCACAGAAAGCTACAAAACTGTCCTCACAGTTTTCTGAAAGGAAAGAGCCAAAAAATTCAAGAGTTAAATTCCCATCTTAAAGTATTTTACAACAATTTACAACCTGAAATGAAGAAAGTACTTGGTTTTTTGGCTTCCTTCCCAAGATCATTTACCAAAGAGGAAGCAAAAGACGTGTTGTTCCCAACTGAGGATTTCCTAGATTTCCAGTACATGCTTGACAATCTTGAGCAACATTCACTCGTACAGCTAGATGAAGTCAACAATCATCTATACTATAGCTTGCATCCTCTTGTACAAGCATTTTGCAAGTCATCACAGGAAGAGACCTGCATGGAATATAACACAGCCATTAAACTTTTTTCAAGGCATTACCTTACACTTCTGCAAGATCTGAGTGATAAATTTATTGGTACAGATGGTAAAGTTGCCATTGACAAATATCACATCAGCAAGACTAACATCATTCATGCGCTTGTAGCATCAGTTGAAGAAGGGGATGATCAGTTAAAGCGTGATGGACTGACCATCTCTACCAATGCTGTGAACTTCTTGGCAAAAGTCTTAAACATAGGTGAATTTATGTCTGTGTATTCACAGTGTTCTCAGGCAGCTGTGAAACTGAATGACAAAATCCTTCTCAGTGGGTGTCTTGTTTCCATTGGATTTAAACAGCTGTGTTACTATGGCTACAAGGATGCATTCCGCACATCTGCAAAAGAAAGCCTCCAGCAAGCACATGAACTTCAAAGTGAACTTTCGATTTCTGGTACAGAATGTGAGGGACACTGTAAGTGCAAGCTGGGTCTTTGCACTTTCATTTCTGGGGACAAAAAGAAAGGCATCTCACTCATAGCACAAGGCATTGCTATACGGAAGAGGAGGGTATGCTCTGATGGATCTGGTAAAGTGGAACGCATGCTTCTTGCTGGTGGCTTCTGTGATTTAGCTAGTAAGTGTTGAGAATTAACAACTGAGCTCTTTGCACTTCAATGTTGAATGATTTTTATTTAAAAAAATTAAAATACAGCTTTTTTTTAAGTGGTAAGTAATGCACCCATATCTTCCATAACCTGGCAATAACTTTTTGTTGTTCATCTTTATTCTTGTAGTGGCCATGTTTGTCAGTGGAAATTTGAGAGCTGCTGTCAACATCTGGACAAACATCTGTCTGGTCAGATACAGAGAGCTACTGGGGCAACACCCCTTCACAGCCTCCTTATTACATTACCTTGGAGATGCTTATCAGTGTCTTGGTGATCTTAAGCGTGCAGTAGCGTTCAAGAGAGAGTCCCTTGAAATGAGGAAATACCTTTTAGGTATGTATTCTCAAATCAGAGGTCTTTAAACAACCTTCCTTACGACAGGATGTGAGAAATATGCAATAGGACTTTGCATTTCTAATACTGAGTGAGTTTTTAGAGTTATAACAAATGTGACAAGACAGTGCAGAGGGTTTTAGTTACTCCTAAAAGTTGTGCCTGTCCATTGTCATTATAGATTGGATTTAGTATTGGTAAATGTCTGCTAGTTGTTGAAACCGCAGAAAACACAATAAGTAACGTGAAATGTGACGTGAATATCCAACTTGCTGTTTAATACTTTTAATTAGTGAATTGAGTAATACACTAAGGCTGTGTGATAGAAGCTCTGAAAGAGTTATATCATACTCTTCAGGCATATATTACAAAGACCTGGTCATGGCTCAAACTCAAACCAACATGCTAGCCAATAAGCCGACACTCCTTGTAATGACCACATTCCATTTTCAAATCCTGATAAACTGCCACTTACATTTTCAGCTGGAGGTTTTCCCACAATTTATGGTGGAAGTTTTCTTAGTCCTGATTTTGTTTTGTATATTTTAGGTGACAATCATTTGGACACTGCCAGAGCTTACTATGGTTTGGGATGTGCTCTTGGAATCCTTGGTTCAACTGAAGAAGCATTAGAAAACATGAAAAAAGCTCGTGAAATTCAAATACGTTTTGCGGCGTCTGAGCAAGATATCAACAAGACAAATCAAGAAATGAACCGTTTGAGAGGAAGAGTTACAATGGACTTTCCATGTTTTAAAGTGGAACAAATGTATATTTAAAGTGATAGTGATATAACGCAGTTCAGCCATGAATAGACTGAATAGCACTCATTTGTGAACAACCACATCCATGTACACGAATTTACTCTAGATTTCAGATCTCTATGTGGAGAGACCACGCCCACAATAGCGCAATAGGGAGAAAGAACATTGTCTTAATGCAACCATCTTTTTTTCCCTGGTGTCCAGTAATTTTGTTAACAAATGGTTGTATGGTTAATTGTTTTTATAAAACAATTTTGCCCATTAAATCTTAAGTTGACGTAGTTGCATGTGTTTCAGCTATAAAACACAATACATAATTCAAGATGTTGACCATTCAGTGGTCAAAATACATTTAACAACATCATATAAATTGCGTTCATATCATAAACCAATAGCCGCCCTACTGACCGGCACGTTCTTGAACTTGTTGAAGGACACTGAAAACTTAGGGAACAGAAAGTTAATCACGAGTAAAACATCCGACAGCAAATACTAAATAGATAGGCAAATATATTCTTGTACTCCATAGGATGTATTGTGCAGACTATACATTTTATCCCGGCTTACAACAAAGTTAAGGATATGTATTTTGTGTCATTGCTGTATAAATCTCAAAACACACTGGAAGGTTATTCTATCTCTAAACGATACAGTGCGACATTTTTAAAGTCCTCTCTATATTACGGTCACAACGTCAAATATCTCGTTGCTTGAAGATGATTCATCTTGAATTTCTCTTGATTTTAAAGAACATATCGTTTCGAGTTCGCCATTTCTTTTAAGTCCATTGTGCGTGTGTTTGAAGTCGTCACGGCGATTTTGTGACGAGCTTTCTGAAATGATCTTAAACTCTCTTAGGATGGAACCTCTAAAGCAGCAACAGAAATACGACAGATATCTGATGTAGCCACGACGAAACTGTTTAGTGATGCTTCCATAAACAAGAGGATTCAGGCAACTGTGAAACACTGTAAGAACAAGGGAAAATTTAAAAACCACCTTGATGGCAATCGCTTTTTGTTCTTTGTCACCAAAATCCAACAACATCCATCCCACTTGACTGGGTAGCATACACACAGCAAATATCATTACGATTATTGCCAGAGTTTTAGTTACTTTAAAGTTTTCTCGCCGTCTTGCCTGGTTCTCCGGGCTTTTGGCAGCCCTGGCATTCCGGAAACTACGAGAACATGAGCGGTTCAGATCTAAACCTATTCTGATATATGCTATTGCGATGATCACCAGTGGAAGGATGTACTGAAGAACAAAGAGTGCAGCTGTATATGCTCGCCTGTGACTCAGACTCGGCCATTTTTCAAGACATTCGAATGGTGGGTAAGGTGTGGTGACAATCATCAATGGAAGAACATTTGCAAATGACATGATCCACAGCACTATTATCCATAAAACAGCAGACCTGTGGCGAATTTCCTGTTTGAAGGGATGTAAGATCACGTGACACCGATGGATGGCCATTGAGGTGAGGGTGTAGACACTGACGAAGAACGATGCTGTCATGAGAGGACGAATAAAATGGCAGAAAAATACCGTGACACGAATAGTGTCAAACATATTGTAGATATGCAGCGGGAGAAAGAAGATAAGCATCAGGTCCGACACAGCTAAATTCATGATGAACAAATCGTTGACAGTTTTCTTTGCTCGCTTGGCAATGATTACGATTAGCACCAGAAGGTTTCCGATAAGTCCAATAACAAAAGTGGCGATGTAAAAACCCAAGCGCACATTTCTTTCCGTAGGGCTTTGTGTAAGTTGAGTTGAATTCGCAGACATTTTGTCTGCTAGACTCTCCTCTTAGTATTGTCGCTTTATATCGAAGATGAAACCTGTCTGCTCGCACTAAAGCAAGATGAACAGCTTTTCACTCTTGAAATCTTTCTTGTCTTCAAAATGTCATATCCCTGATCGTCCTACACCACCTGCAAAGATACCAATCTTTTTCATTATCTTTTCCTGTCTTTAAATACTATGGATATCACTGTTTTGATGTTTCAAAAATATAAACATTGCAAAAATGTAATAAATAAGAATTTTGATTACTTTATCGATGGGATGGAGGAAATGGACGATCAGGGTGCATGCGTGTGATTTTTTAGAGTTATTTCTTTTTTTAATTATGATAGGTAATCATTATCATGATGGTATCAACATAAAAAGGAAACAATATCTATTTTCTATCTTAACGAGTTACTATGCCAACCGGACAACCCACTGTAAACATTCCTTAGTGTTTACTGCAGGTGCTGTTCGCTAAGAAATGAGGTAGGTCACCCACATTTTCCACAAATATTTCACAGAAAAAAAAAAAAAAAGAGTAACAGGTTTTTGCGGTGGAGGGAATTTATAATCGAATTTTTTATCAACTCATGCAAGAAATTTTTTAATGAATTACTGCGGGAGAATTGAAACTTTTTCTAGTCTCTTGACTGGTGTTGATAAACAGAGTGCGAGTTGTTACAAACTGTAAACTTTTACTAACGTTGCCACTTAAATTCCATAAATCTGACTTGTCTAAGACCTGGCTTTTTCTTCAAGGAAATTCACCACTGACGAGTGACACAAAACTGAATAGTACTCAGAATGGGAGGAGGGTATTTGATCCCTGGATTGATGCTCACCGTGCATCATGGATACCAATCAGGCAACCTCTAAGGTTTCATTAATAAGACACCAGGTGCATCTCGTAATTTAACTTAGTATATAATTCTGAGCCCTATCTGTTCGCAATATCTAAACAAAATAATGATTGGAGCATGGTCCTTAATAAATAGTGAATTGTTGAATCTATTCATATATTACATCACAGTTCTCTCATCCATCCTTACTTGATAAAAAAGGGAAAGATTTTGTCCAGAAAAAATACGTTTACGAATACGTTATGAGCACTTCACTTTTATGGATCTATCTTTGACGTTAATTACGCTATCAAAGCAAATTTGGTGACATCAATTAGCCATCAACACCTAATCGTTTAAGATGTGAAGATGGAAGAAAATATTATGCTAGACTCGGCGGTCACCTTGTTAGGCGGCTGTAAATCGTTTAATTGCCCTCGTCTATACATTCTGTTTGTTTCAGCTCCAATGCACCATTTTGCATAAATAGTTGAGATTGTTATCTCAGGAGAATCTGTGACTTTTGGGGCAGCGTAACTTGGCGATCGAAACTGGCAAGCTTCATAACTCACCTGAGTAACTGAGATCATCGGAAGAATATTTGTGATTGATGTCATGCACAAACTACGCCTAATTTGCATAACAAGTCTTTTTTAACGCTATTCGCACCCAAAAAAATTAACAACTGTTTTCAAAAATAAACGGAAAGACAATTGTAGCCTGGCTTTAGTTATTTAATCGAGACACTTCTTTCAAGAAGTTTTGTTTGTGTAAAGTGCGCAAAGCACAGGAAACTTACAACAAAGATCTCATTGATCATTACACGAGTTTCCGCCACCATTTTGCAATCGATCAGCAGAATTTTTTGCGAGGTATCTTGAGCATAGAATTACAAACCTACTTCAGATCCACAGTGAAGTTGACCATGATCGTGATAACGATGAATTCGGTCAGTAAAATCAACATTATCCTACAATATCATTACTTATGATAATCACATTTTAATTTTTTCATACCAGCGATATTAATTATATAGTACTTCACTAAAAAGGGAATAAAATTTGACACTCTTTCATATCCTTAATACCATTTCTTTTTCCACTCAAAACTTCCGGAATTTTGTCAAAAATATGACTAATAAATGTCTACAGCTTTTACTGCTCCTCAAAGATGACGGAAGCTTTCAATTGATAGCTTTTAAACAGCTTAGGAAGCACTGAAACTCATACTTGAACTTAAGCTTATCGATCGTGTTTTCCGTCCAAATGAAATTGCAGTATTATAAACTGTATCAAGGAAATACCAGTCACTCTTACATTGTTTGTGTTGACAGCGCGGAAATTCGTGACCAGTGTTCCGGTTTTATTAAGATATTTCTCTTTCACTGATCACTTATTCATGCCAAAAGAAGTATTGATACGCATTGTTTATTAGTCTATGTCTTCACCACCTTACACAAATTCTGTAAGCCTCAGATTGGACGTAAGATGACAAGGTTCATTCAAATCCGACACGCTGTGTTGCAGCAGGTCAGTTTATGGTATAAAAGTCCAACAAAAGGAGAGAGTGACTCCCAAATCAGTATGCACACGTGAGCAGCTTTGCAGCCAGGCAGTAATCATGAATTATTGATGTATTCATCTCAACCCAGCTGCTTGCGTTTTCAGCATAATCCAGCCATCATGATGTTGCTGAGATGAAAAATGCAAACTTTCTTTGTTTCACTTTGAGCCTGAATTACCTGTAGTCTGACCTTAGGTCAGATAAACGATTGGAATGATAACTGGCAAAATATGAAAAATAATTAAATTGGCTCTCAGGTAGAATTTTGTAACAAACAGTCATTTAAATATCTATTTCGTAGCGACTGATATGTACACCGACCATTTAGGTTTATTACATTGAATACAGTTTTAGCCAACAGAAACTGAAGAACCACATTTGCTAAAAAATGCTTGTTCTCTCCTATAAATGAAATTTAACAGGTCAAATGAGTTTCATTCGTAAGAAAGAAATTACTCGAAAGAGGAACTCGTTAAGTTTTCAAACTCAACTTGTTCCTTTGAAGGGCTGAAGGCGGCAAAAAAGAGTACCTTGTGAAAAGAAGCTAACAGTTCTGACGATGAAAAGTCTTATCTATTCAAATGGCAGTTGGAATACTCTCATCCCGTCCAGTTTAATGAAAGTTTACGCGCTGAGCTTTTTCAAACGCTTCTTCACTTTCAATCGATGGCGCCCTCTTTTAATTTTCATCTTGGATTTCATAACTTTCACATGCTGCGAAAAATCAACAAAATACTACAGAGAAACTGAGAAGTTGACGTTATTTAAAAAAAAAACGGGAAAAATCCTAATAATTGGAATAAACGTGTGTTTTGGTGTTATCTTCATCCTGACTGCGTTCGGACTTTAATCGTCGCTTTTAAAGTGAAGGGATGAAATAATAGGATCAGGTTAAAACAAGAATACGTTTCTTTCTACCTGTTTGTAATTAATATCTCCGTTTTCCCCAATGGTTAACTTAATCAAAAGCGTTTAAGCTTTTTATCCGTTTCATGCACAAATACTAAATAATTTACATGGTCGCAATGACTAAATCAGTCTTTTAAACTAGAAGTTTAGAACTTCTCTAAAACCTAAGGGGAGGTAGGAAGCGAAAGGTAGACGCAATTTCTTAATCCGAAATTAAGCAAATATTTGAATTTGTTAACGCATTGGGCTCTGTTCCCTGTTCAAAAAATAAATAAATAGGAACTAAGTAAAAAGATAAACCTTTCTACTACCTTTTTGTCGGCTCGAAAATCCACGCATATTTACATGCGAAAAAAAAAAAGAAGTAAGATCCTTTTATTGACTTAAATACTTGATTCAAATTGTAGTACCCCGCATAAGATGAAAAAATAGTATTTATAGGTTATCATCAGCAATAAAAACTTACCTTTTAATTCTAAGAACGAAAAATTTTCCTGGGACCAAAATGAAGCAGCCATTTGCCGGCCATTATGGCAAATTCACTGTCCATATAAAGTGGTCACTTTCCATGGAATAAGTTGACTATTAACTAACAAATCATACATAGTTTCCTTTAAACATTACCTGAGAATTCTCTAATACAGCATTAAAGCCAGGAAAAACCAAATAGGAGTAACAGTAATACATCACTTATGTGTTTGTATTGAGAGCGCGAGCGGCATACATAAAAAGCCAAACCTATTCAGTAATGCTAATGTAATTAATTCAAATAAACGCATCATTGAAAACATTTCAGGAAGTTTTTGTTGACCTTTGTTTATAATTTTCTAACGAGCATTTTAAATCCAGAGCCACCAGTTTGCATCAAATTGCGTGAATTGTGGCTTCTGAATAAAGCTAACGACTTAAAAACGACGAGCGCAAAGACATCGTTGGCACCATGCGCGCGTCAGTAAACACAAAATATGACCTCAATTTTATTACCTCTACTTTGTGCCCAAAGTAGCGACAGTGCGGCACCGATCATCGTGTCAAGCTTCAAAAGCTAAATTTCTGATTATCAATTTTTATAACCACCTGTTATGTGAACTGGGCTTGGTATCAGAGATGCAATCATTATTCTGGCATTTTATCGAGAAAAAGTCGTATGAGTTATGTCTCTAATTTAATGGCATGGTCTTCAAGGAAAATACTCATTCTAACATTACGCTTTGGCGTGGCCTCACCATTTGCTGTTCGATGAAACAGTCGTATATTGTTCATGCATGCGCGTACGCAATGTTTACCTTTCTTTTTGTGGTTTCATGATCTATTGACATTTATCAGAGTAAATTATTTGGAAATAAAAAACGTTACAGCAAAAGATGAAAATATTATTACGATCTACATGAAAATATCTGACTTTTAGTCACATCCACTGCTGTTAAGATATATTTCTTTTATTTCGGGATGTTGATCTGAACAATTACTCTTTTCTTTTCGGCTTCTTCGACAATGTAGTCAAAGCATTCGCGTCGATCGACGCAACACTCCTGTAGCAACAAAATAAGTAACATCACTATATGGGGATCCATACCATTGGAATTGTTTAAAGACAGTTAGCCGCAGAGTCTTTTCTCAAACAACTGAAAAGATTCAAGCGACCAGCGACCTTCCATAGTCATCATACACGCTAGAATCAAGTACAACTCTACCGCTGGTTAAAGTGCCTGCTCCTCGATGGTTTGCTAGCTGTTTTCAAGATAGCTTCGTCAGTTCTAGTCCCGGTCAGAGTTCAGTTCTGATTCTAGATGCGATTGCGATCACATGGACGGTTTAAATTACCCACGACATTTCACTTATGTTATCCATATGCCGTGTTACATTTGATTTTACCGCATTTCCGTGCGTCAACATTGCAAAAACGAAATTGCGGAAATAGACACAATCCAGTGGTAATTGATGAAGCATACAACCGATACTGGCCTCCAAACCTCTATCTTAGGCCTTAGGGTTGATCTCTTAATTGATTAGAATGAACCTTTTCTAACTGCTAAACGCAATTCATCTTCTTTGATTTCTCTTATGCAGCACATTCGACCCTACATTTACCACTATTTCGCAAGGGAAGGCCGCCTAACTGTTAACAAACTTAACCTCTTTCAATTTAAAATGACAGCATAAGATATTTTTGGAATTGAATTAAAGCATCACACAAATAATTGACGGATACTTTAATTCTTTTTGCAATAACAATGTTTGGTATAGGATTATCATTTAAAAATTAAGGTTTCAAGTACACAGCCGAATTTCTCTTTAATCAGATATGTGAATCGATGTTTTACATGCAATAGTTATTTTTTTTTGCTGCCTAAATAAAACAAACTCAAAAAACAAACATTGCATATCAATATAAAACATTTCACACCTACAAAAATTTCGTTTCATATTTTAAAACTGGAAAAATATAATTTTCATATCATTGTAGTTCAGTTGCAACCAATGAAAAAGGTTTTGTTTGTGTCTGTTTTTGTTCGATGTTTTATTGTTTAATTCAATTTACGGGCAAGCATCAGCATCAGAAAAAAAGGAAACTTAAAAACTGTTGAACAACTTGATGACACACAATGTAAGCAATTGAATACAAAAAAGGGGGAAAACGTGATTCAAAGTAGCTTCAAATTTTAAAGGTTTTGTTGTATACGTGTGCTTTTGGTCTCGTTGGTTTCTCGTGGAGTGCAAATACTATAATTTCCCAGTTAAGTGTTAAGTAGGCAGCCACATTTAGCTGCAAAATGAAATGACCACTCAAACCAAAGCGAGATCGGGTTAAAAAGTTCGATTTAATTACTGTGTTCTAAAAGAAACTGATAATTGTTTTTTATATTTTACATTATAATAAACATTTTAAAAGCGAAGATTTTATGTATTTTCTCACCTGATATAATGATGGAAGTTGTACATCTGCATATTTCAGTGGTCGAAAAGCTTTGAAAGCCTATACTTCCTTTTGATTACTATCAGGCCTAGAATCAGTTTACTTGAAAACTTTCATTACACCGCGATTTGAGCGAGTTTACTGTGATACGGTGAGCATTGTTCTCAACTGATTGTGAGGTGATAAGTATTTAAATAAGAGCTAAGCCGAACAATTATTACCTGTTAGGAATACAAAGTGAAACCGACTGCCGCCACGAGTCCATATAATTTGCTCGTCGTTTGTGACAGCCAAAGTTCGTAATCATTAGGGCTACTTCCGCAGTTCGACTGGATTAAAGTTTCAGGTTTCTGCCCGCAGATCCTTGGATATCGAGGTGATGAAATCACATATGCCAGCAATTAAATCTTTACGAACACTACTACAAAGCTAGAGGCTTTGAATAGAACTCCAGCCTGAATATGAATATTTCATCGGATATTTTTAACAACAAACGGGGCACGGCAGTCGACGAAGCAGCAAGAATGGCCACTCTAACGATCTTTGTTTTGACTTTCTTATTTGGCTCTACAGGAAATCTTCTGGTTCTCCTCGTCGTCGCCAAGAAGCACACTCGTACTTTAAACGACATTTTTATCATCCATTTGGCGGTTTCTGATTTAAGTTTTATTCTTTTATGTTTACCAGTATTTATCTACATGCAAGTGTCTGATTTCCTCGGATCGTTAGTGTACTGCAAGATTATCTGGCCTATGATGACTGTATCCTTTTGTGCAGGGATTTTTACCGTGACCTTGATGGCAGTTCATCGTTGCAAAGCAATCCTTCGCCCTTTCGAGGGAGTACTTGAAAAAAGGCAGCTCTTTTTGTGTTTTTTGGTTATTTGGGTTCTTTCTTTTCTTGTTGCCCTGCCACTTATCATCGTGGCTAGAGTTGGACCATCAGGAGGCTGTCTTGAAGATTGGCCTACAAAAGAGCACAAGCGAGGTTATACTGCTGTGCTCGCCGCGCTCCAATACTTCCTTCCTCTAATCATCATTGCTGTTGCATATGTCATGATTGGGGGAGAACTCTTTTTCTCAAAGCGGCGTAGGTCTTTTACTTCCCCGCCAAGACCTGCGGAAGAGGCGAGGAAACAAGAAAACAAAAAAATTGCCAAAGTACTTGCAACCATAGTTGTTTCCTTTGCTGTGTGCATGCTTCCCACTCACGTAGCCTGGTTGCTGGTCGATTTTGGTGGCAATGGTGGCCGGAAGACAGCAGAAGTTATTTTCAAATTTTCCGACTTATTAGCTGTATTTCACAGTTGTTTGAACCCTTTAATCTACGGGACAGTAACTCGCCAGTTTCGCCAAGATTACGTTCAATATCTCAAATCTACTCTCGTTTGTCGCTACAAAAGAATTCTCCAAGCAAAACCGTGTCAACAGCACCAAGCTAGCGAGAGGTTCAATACATGGACAAGAGGTGGACAAACCACAGATCTACTAGAAATGGATTACCGAGGACCCACTCAATCAACCGCACTGATCCCGAAAATAATATAGCTTGGCAGCTTCTTTGTTTAAAGTTGGCAAAGATTGCACAACTAGGAACAGCAACGATAGCAACAAATTTGATAAAAAAACTCCATCTTTGGTTCGCTCTATTGTTCGGTTAAGTTTCGAAGTGAGGCAATGGTTTATTCATGGATATGGTGATTAAGAAAGAGAGAGGTCAAGTGACAAAAATGCATCACTGTTAAAAT